AATCCCTAACGTTCTGTGATTCTGTGTTAAGGCTGAAATTCAGTTCAAAACAAGTATTGTGGAATGAGGTGCTGTCTTAATACGGAATTTCACTATTATTTTTCTTTAAATGCCTAGTAACTATCCAAGTGAAATGAAAACATGCACTTTTCTTCTACCGTGACCATTCCTGAACTAAATTATAGATGATTCCGATTTAATTCACATTGTATAATAATAGAATTCAACAATTGAAAATGTGTTGACAGACAAATAGAAAGTGTGCTAACCCCAGCATATTTCAGTTTGTAGCTGAAATCTTAGAATCACAGAATGGTTTGGGTTGGAAGAGACCTTATAGAGTACCATCCGCCCTGCCAAGGCCAGGGGCACCTCCCACTAGACCAGGTTGCTCAAAGCCCTGTCCAACCTGGGCTTGAACACTTGCCAGGGGAGGGTGCATCCACAACTTCCCTGGGCAACCTGTGCCAGTGTCTCATCACCCTCACAGTAAAGAACTTCTTCCTAATATCCAGTCTAAATCTAACTCTTTACATTTAAAGCCATTACCCCTTGTCTCATCACTACCTGCCCTTGTAAAAACTCCCTGCCCAGCTTTCTTGTAGGCCACCTTCATGTACTGAAAGGTCACCCTAGAGCCTTCTCCAGGCTTACTATATTATATAGATTTTACTGAAATGCTTAGAAAAGATGTTTTTAGTCTTTTTTTTATTTTCTCCCTCAACTGGTCAATGTCAAGTAGTTTGCTCATAAGGCTACTCCAATAGGTACACGTGCTCTCTCGCTCTCATTCTCCAACCACTCCTCTCCATTGCACATTTCTAGAAATATCATAACATAAAAACGTCATGTCCTTTCTTTTGAAAATTAAGTATTTAAGAACAATGACTTTTCAATGTTTTACAAATCAGTCAGGTCAGCTGTTATGTGTCAGAAGCTGCCATCTTTTAACTTCATTTATAACCTTTACTCTGAAAGGAAGAATCCAAGCACATAATGAAATCTAAGTGATCTCATAGGCAATACAGGCTGTCTTCTTGTTAGAGAAATAATGTAGAAGATGTGCATGACTGATGAGAACAGGAATTTTTCTAATACTGCTTCACAGAACTTAATTGCACAGTAAGAAATACTAAATTGATGCATGGTGTTTCATCCTGCTCTGGCAGAGGGGTTGGACTGGATGATCTTTCGAGGTCCCTTCCAACTCCTAATATTCTGTGATTCTACAGGAGATAGACCTAAGACTTCTGTTTTTCTAGGATGCTGGAATTCAATTGGCTCAAGCTTCTCATGCCTGCTGTTTGAATGATTACCACAGCTTTGTACTCTTTCTGGAAATGTAATAGCTATAAGCTTTTAAGAAAAGGGGAAATTCATTAATAGGACATTGTACAGGTCATATTTCTTAAAATAATTTTATGCTAAATTGAAGTATTCCTATTTATGTTATATAAGAGAATAACAAACATAAGCAAGCAATATAATTTTGGAAATTCTGTATTTTTATGACTTCATTAACCCACCTATCTGTCCAGCAAAAGTAGAGTAAAGTTTTGGCATGGGTGCTCCAAATACCATTCCTCTGAGTTTGTCCATTGGAGGAGCTTTATTCTGAAGGCCTCCAAACTTTCCATTGCTGCGAATCCTGTCTCCTTCTCTAGTCAGCAAAGTAGGGCAATGTGTAATTTTTACAACCTACACAGGTATAAAAAGTGACACTAAATTAGTAACTCCAAGGGAAAAAAATAAAGTTTTCAGCAATGCTAATGCAAAGCTTTGTACTTTTCAATTGTGATGCAGCCTGTTGTCTAATAAGAATGTATTTTATGAAATTACATTTAATGACTCTTGCTTTCAAGTAATAGAATACATACATTAAAATTAAACAGTACAGCTGATAATTATGAAGATTAGATTTTTGGGGTTTTTTGTGTGTGTCCTCAGATTTCAACAGAGCTCTGGAGGCAGAATTTAGATCTATACTGGGAAAAAATTAATTATCAGCACATACCATGAACTAATGGCAATAAACATCAGCACTGACAAAAAAAATGTGAGCACTTATTCAATTATTTGATAAAGATTTTTTTTAATGCATGAGATTTAAAGTATCTAAATTCCAAGGGTCTTATTTCTTCTAACATATTCACTAAAACTTCCATATAGTTCATTAATTTACCTGTGGTGGGTGCCTGAAACACATGGGGCAAGAGACTAACCAAGTGAAGTGACCCAGAACTCATTCTGATAAACGACTACATATATCAACTCCTTTTCTTGAACAGACTCAGATTTTCAGTCTCCTGTCACTGTTTAACAACTAAGATCTTGCTCTCCTGTCTCTTCTGTTTGATTTTGCAGTAAAAATATGTATTTCTTGATGAAGTTGAAAAACAGTAGCTATTTGTTCACTTGATGGACACTGAGATAGTTATAACACATGCTGAATATTAAAGCATTAACGTCAATCATGTGGGTTTTACTATGACTATATCCATATTCCTGAGACTCTTTGGAAACGTTCAAGACAGTCCTTGCTCCCAGGTTACCAGCCAGTGGTAGCCAATAAAGAGGGATGGGAATCACAGAGTAGAAGAGCTGGTCAGGCCCAGAGCACAGAGCAGGAAATCTGTGTTGCACTGACTGAAAATATGAAACAGACAACCAATTTTAATGCCACCAGAGGTTCCTTGTTAACTTGTTGTTAAGTAAAAACCCTGCAGCAGAATTTCTTATACCCTTGGAGAGGGAAAGAATAAGAATATCCAGCCTCAAGAGCTTAATGTTTAATCAGTACAGTTCTACATTCTTATGCTGAATTCAATTCTAACAACCTCATGCCCAGTGTCAGGACTTCCTCAGAGTCTCCTGTCTGCTAAAATGTGTCCCATTAAACCTAAATAAAATGGGTCACAGAAAGGTCTAGTACATTTCACATCAAGATCTTACTCCTTTTAGAGGATCTGAAATTTCATCATGTGCCTCAGATTTCAGTGTTTTGTTATACGTACAGGGACCAGGGAAGTGCTGAAGGATTTGCATTTAATGCTGAAAAAACTAAAAATGTTTCTCTTTAAAAATATGGTCCCATGCTTCATGGCAATATTCACATAATGGAATTTGTTGAATGGAGGTAATTTTGTCAGTATCAATAATAAAGATTTCATTCACTCATAAGTGCATTGAAACTTAGAGACAGTAAGCACACTTACAGCTAATGCAGCATTACACTTAGCAGCTATTCTTAGTTTGCAATGTATTAAGTATGTAGCAAGGAAATACATTTATTTTTTTAAAATATCAATAATAATTGAAACATACCTCTTTTCTGTAATGGTTGGCAGCATCCAAGTTATTTATAATGATAGTGTCACCCAAGATCATCCCAAACACTGAAAAATGCAATTTTTTGAACCATGAAATCTCTCCACAGCAAAGTAACTTGAGCTTTGAAAAATCAATTCTGACACATAATTATTACAGCTTTTCAGATAAGCACAAGGGAAACAGCAAGTGCATTATCTTTTTTCTGAGACTGAGATAAATATGCAATCTTCTGGATTCATCAAAGTATTAATAAAAGAAACCCAGTATGTTTAATTGCCTTATGGCATAATTAGTTATTTTCCACCAAAGCACTCTCTTGATAGCTTACAGTTACATTTATGAAGACACACATAATAAAGTTCCAAGTTTTAGGAAATTACATAAATGATTATTTTTTTAGGTCTTCCTTGAACAGTGTTCTTAGTTTCTTAGCATGTTTCTTAATATTCAACAGGTTATCAAAGAAAAAACCAACACATTCCCAGGCTGATGATGCAACTGATTTTGAGACCTTTCTTCTGCTAGTAAAAGATTGTTCTATATAAAATCTGACTTGATGTACCTTCACATGAGGTATGTTAAGTGATATTTTTTCTAAACTCTCACATAAAAGTAATAGCCTATCTGCTAATGAGGGACACAAAGAAGAATTTATAGTTAAAGTCTCTGACAATATCTAACTTTCTGAAATAAACTGGACTAAAAATTATTTTTTATTAAAAGCAGAGAGGATTATTTCAATACTGGGAAGTTCTGAAGTAAAACAAAAAAACTTAAGTAATTACAGATTCCAACTCTCAATATAAGGAGTAACTACTTAATTTAAAAAAAGGAGTATAGGAAAATGTAGGTACTACTATGTTGCTAGAAAGAGCAAGAGGATGATGGTTCCCCAAACTGAAATCTACATAAAAATTGAAAGCTTATTCTTACTGTAACTAGAAAAATAGCCTAACAAAAGAAGTAACTTCTGCAATATGAAAATATAAAATTAGTATCATAATTGTCAGCTTCTGCTTACATGAGCTTGGGATTATGATAATGCTGCAGTAATTTAAAAGAGAAAAAAATATTCTAGTATGTATAGTAGAGAAAATAAAAACAAGACAAGCTGAAGACCGTGGTCATTGCTGAAATTTTCACAACTGTTGTTTGCAAGTACTTAATCCTAATGTCATCTTCTTTTTACCAGCAGACCTCACGAGGATTGCACACTGGTATTTGCAAATGCCTCAATGAGGCTTAGCGAATGGGCTATGATCTGTGATGTTTCTGTAATTTCATTTATTAAAAAGAAAGAAGTTACGAATAATTTCTTTAATAAAAGTTACCTGTTTGACAATGCTCTGCATTATCTGGAAATATTAACAGATCTCTGGCATATACAGGATTTCCAATGGGTCTGAAGAAGATTTTTCCATTTTTTATATGAGGTAAAGGCCTAGTTAAGAAATAGGAGAGTGAGGGAGAAGAAAAGAATAGAAAAAGAAGTTATTTATCCCTATTTCTGTATTGTTTCTGACAATCTAGTCGGAAATCTCAAAGTGAATTGAATGCATCTTAACACTTCCACATAAGGTGCTAAATGGTCCCAACATTATCTGAAATGCCAGTTATATTAAAGATGTTTTGGTGAAACACTTGTAATGAGACATATCCAACAAATTCAATGACTAATTTTATGGTTAAGTTTTAACACACTATAAAACCTGCAATTTTGGACCTTATAAATACATCTACACATCAGATCTTTCATAAAAGGCATTCTTTATAACATTAGCAGTCATCTTCAAAAAGAAATTATTTTAAAGCACAGAATTATTATATTTTCCTTGATCTCCCAGGAAACTAAAACAGCAGAATGAATTTCTGGTAATTCTGTGAATTTAGAGAATATACTGCAGAACTGGATTCTTAAAACAGTTAGAATTTGATTTGAAGCACTAGAATTACTAAAACGAAGTTCCTGCTCTATAAAATATGTAGAAATTAAGAAAAAAAAGTAGAATGTCTTCTCTTTTAAAGAGGAAAACCCTATTAACTAAAGAACAACACAGTTAAAGAAATAAAATTAAAATTTCAGCTAACATTTCAAGTGACATTACTGTTGCTATAATTATCAAGCCAGAAATTTTATACTTTGAATCTTTAACAGAAGCTGAGTTTAAAAAAGAAATTAGACAAAAAGAAGGTGAAGAAGTATGTAATAGAAATGCAGATGTTTAATTGTTTATTCTCTACCTGCTCCAATCAGGGAGTGTCTTCTTGCAAATAGAATCAAGGGGTAACACTTGTTGTCGACCTTGAGTTTCATCAAAAATCGAACGAGCAGCTTCAGTAGTCAATGTGACTACACAGTCCATGTCACTTGCCAAATGCCAAGAGATTACTTTTGCTGCTTCATTATCCTCTATTTGTGCTAAATGTGCAATCTGTACCACAGAAGTTAGAACAGTCAAAGTTGAAGCTAAGACCACCTCCCATTTTCATACTAAACACAATCATCTTGCAACAACAATCAGACATTTAATTCCCCTGTTGATGGCTCTGTTAAAAGAGCGGGTTATCTGATAGGTTGAGAAAGATATCTTCTTTTTAATACTCCTCAAAAATTACTTGCATATTTGGTTGGCTCATTTTTCATCACTACCTCTTCCTGGAACCAATAAAACTTACCTGAAGGCTCTCTAAAAGAAAACTCACCTTGCCCAAAATATCTTGGTTGCCTTTTGGATAGTTTGGGAGTGTACAAGTTCGCCTTGGCTGCTTCACTACTCCTTCTTGTTCCAACATCTTTTGTTTTATAAGAGAATCCACATACTGAAGCTGAGAATTAAAATTCAAAGTTAGCAAGTATATGTCATTGGGCGGAGCTGCAGAAGTAGTTACTTTACCTGTTGTCAAATTCCCAACAAAAAACATTCAATAATCTGAAACACACTCTTTATCTATAGGACACCGCTGCATATTATCTCAGAGGAGAGTAAAAGGAGGCACACTGCAATTGTTACTATGAACTTTTTTACTACTAATATTTTTTACAGACTTTCAGGGAGCTTTTTGCAAAGAGCTACCAAAGCTTGATTAAAGCCAAAATTGCAGGAAGTTTAAATGGAAAAAAATGTACAAAAATAAACCATTTTAGAAGGGGACTATGTCCAGGCCTGAAAAATTTAAGCAGCAGGGGAAACTTGAGTATCATGATTGCAGAACATGTATAGTCTAATTTTACTCATTTGTGAATAATGACTGCAACACTCGTTTTTACTTAAACTAAAGGTAACTGATAATGTACATATTTTTTCCCCAAATGTTAGTAGTTTGAAAATTTGCTTTAAAACGTTTATTTAAAATACAATTGGATCTTTATGGAAAATTAGCAATGGGGTACACTGGCCTAAATGAACCTACTTTTACAACAGCTTTGGCAGTAACATATGAAATTCATTAATTCTCTGAAAATAAGTGCTTTCCATTGGTCCACTTATGCTAGAAAAAAAAATCCAGTGTACACTGATCAGCCTGCAAAAAGCCATTATTAAAACTAGCAGTACCAGTAACACAACTGGTAACCTTAGCAGAAAGGCAAAAACAAGATCAGGATATAAAAGAGAAGCTTTTCTTTAAAGTAGTTTCTTTAAGAGAGTCACACTAGGAGAACAGTATAAAAATTTTAAGTTTGGCATTGATCTACAAATTTTCCTCATGTTCTAAATTTTCAGGGTTTTGGTAACAGGTGGTTGTGTATATTCCAGTGTGATTCAATAATGTTATATAATGATATGAATTTTATATTAAGATAAGACCTATTTTTAAGATGTTATGGAGTTTAATTAGAAATAAGCCATACTGTGTTTGTCTGTGGTAATTCTATTTGGTGTTTTTTCAGTTCATTCTTCAGGTGAATTTCTCTTGTTTCAGCTTCTTTAACCTGACCTGAAACCAACAAAATCAAGACAGTAAGGAAATATTAGAATGCAACAGAACATTTTTTACAGAATTTCTTACATTTTTTCAGAATTATGCCACCCACAGCTGATGGTATCTACTTCTCAATTTCAGCAGAGCATATTGGGATTTGTCCACAAAGATCTGGTGATCTGTCCAGTTTTTAAGCAATTTCAGCAGCTGCCATCTCCATCAGCTTCAGGAAGCAATGGGGCTTGTCCTTAGATCAGTCTGAGAATGTAAGCTCTTTTTACTTTTCATCCTCAATTATCTGTCCAATTGGTTCTCCAACAGGCAAAATGGCAAGAAGGAAAAGAAAAGTGGTAGCTGCCATTACCCTCTTCTGTCTCTTATATGGGACACCACTTTCTGGACACTATTTCCTCAACTCTTCTATCTGAACTAAAGCAATTTTGAAAACAAATGAGTAAACAGGTGAGTTGCTTCCCACTCTCTATTCAAAAAGGTTTATATTTGGAAATGTAATTTAAGCATGAAGTATAATGTTTTGCTCTAACTTTCTCTCTAGAGATGTACAAAAATCTGCAAACATGAAGCAAAACTTTTTGCCTTTCCCATTGGAATTCAGGAATTTGCATCCATAGTGGAGACATGCAGTAAGCAAGTAACAGAAACATAGCTCTATACTAAAATTACAAGAAAGAGCAGCATCTTCAAATTCCAGCATGTTTTATTTACACTTAGTGATTACTTAAATTAAAAATTCAAAATGCATCTACTAAAAGAAATGTTCTGATCCACAGACAGGATGATTCAGACAAAAAATAATGCAAAGAAAAGGTTTCCTTCATCTCTCCCATTCCCACTGTCCTCACACTGCTCTGCTGTTCAACAGACTTTATAAAGGATTACATTTGCTGAAGAACATAAGCAATGAAGAGTTACACAATACTTCTGAATAATGTACGCAGGGCCAAATGCAGGGAGGAAAAGTAACATTTTGAAAATGTAAGGCTAGCTTTTTGAAAGAGGATTATAGCTCATTCCCTAAAATAGTTTTTAGACAACTGTCAGATTTCCAGATGGATGAGCATTCATATATCCATTGCAAAGATGGGAGTACAAGGCAGTCATGGAAAAAAAGAATCAGACCACCAGCTTCAATGTTTTATTTTTGCTTTGACAGTTCTGACATAAGACATTCTACCTCAAACCAAGGTCCTTTACAGGTAGGTCCATCCAAATAGCTAGACGCTTCCTGTTAACACAAAGATATACGCCCTTCTGCTCCCCTCTAATTACTGTATCTCATTATTTCAATACTGCTTTTTCTCTCCCTCTCTATATTCTGAAAATTATTAAAGGAAAAAAAAGTTTAATTCCCAGTAAATTTATTTACTTGATTGAACTTACATTTTATTTCAGTTACAAGCTGATTTTTAACATCAAGCCAATTTCTGTAAACACCTATGGACTGAGACAATTCGTCTCTCTCCCTTGTAAGTGTTGCCATCTGTTGCTGCTTCTTGAAATCTACAGAAATAAATATACATATAGTTAGAAGAAAATACAGTAACATACTTATTTGGTTTAAACATCAGCAAAAATCCATTAAGCTATTACACAGTTCTGAAGTATTATGGACCCAAAAATAGTCAGTTCTAAGAAAAAGCAAGCATTTTAGTGTAATTGAAACATACCGTTGTAAAACATAAATGACAGACGGTATGGTTCCAAAGGTTTTTTCAAAGCTGGCAGATCTGGCTCAAATACAAGAATATATTCAGTGCTATCTCTTCCAGGACTATTTTCAGCCAGCACTAGATTCTAATAAAACAGACAAACAAAGGTGCATAAGTTTACATTTACGCTTGAGGCAACACACAAAACAAACCAAACATTCTTCAAATACTAAATCTTAGAAAATTACCAAACACGTGATGTTTATACAATATCACTACATAAAAAGAAGTATAACAGAAAGATTTAGATACTTAGATTATTTAAGAATTAAGATTGCCATTTTACCTGTTTAAAGTCTTATTATTTTGGACTATATATTTTATTTAAGAGACATATGCTCAGAAAAAATATTATCTGCACTGTCCCATAAGCAAGATTTCCTCGGATGTACTTCATTCAGCATGTGAACAAATGCAAACGGAACATTAAAAAGAAAGACCCAGTGCATAAGCAGAGAAAAAGGAAAACAAACTATTCCCAGTGCTGAGTTAAAGTTACTGCTGTTACCATGGAAGTAGACAGCAGGTCCCAAATGAGTGAACAATGTATATCCAACCACTAACACAAACATCTCATTTCTTATCAATTCCTTATTGAAATGACAAACTAAATCCTTCGCCTTTCTTTACAAACACAGGAAATATTACAAAACTATAAAGAATGGTAAACAGAAATAAAATTAGTATAGGTAATATCTAAATGTGCTGTTACTTTGAGAAAGGTATCATGCATAAAATGAATAATGCTTATAATAAAACTCATACTGTTTCCACCTTTAACATGTAGAAATTGCTACTCAACTGGCCAAATCAAGAGAGAGGTAGTTGCAGCCTAAAAGAAGAGATAGATATATAACCTTCAAAGATAGTCTTCATGGCTTTCAAAAATATTGCAGCTACATATTTAATCAGGAGAAGTCTGTAGTGGAAATATCTTGTCCTTAGAAAATTTACACGAATAAAAATCTAAACATTTTCCTTCATTAAACAAATTTAATATTCCTGAACAGCAGTGTAAAGGTAAACAAGTCAGATTATCAGCTTCATTACATTGATGCCAATTGCACATGATTGTATTCATAAACAAGATAGAACAATTTGAAGGTATTAAAAAAAAAACCACTACTGTGTCCCCTCCCTATTACTACTGATATGAAAAAGTACATTGCATCAAAACAAACAAATCCTTTCCACATGAGTTCTGTGAGTTGTCTAATGTCACACAACTCAGTATCAACTTGACAACTGAAAGCTGCCCACAGAGGGGAAGAGACATGGGATTCACTGAAATGGAATTATGCCCCATAGAAGACTGGGGAACATAAGTTACTGTCAAAAGCAGTAGGCGCTCATCAGAGTAATGGGAAAGCAAAAGAACCAAACCCCATCCCCTCAACAAGCCAGGAATATCTCAGTAGAAAGAAAAAGCATCTGCTTACAGGAAAAAAAAAATCCAAACCATGCCAAACAAAAATGCCCCCAACAAGCCCCCCCATTACATAGGTTGTTAGCTTAGTCACTGAAGCAAGACTGGAGTATTTAGGTCACAAAGGCTCAACAGCAGGTTACTAGTATATGGGGATACAAAATTTGATTTTTCTGCATCAGTGAGGAGTCTGAGAAATTATCCAGTAATGTTATCTGAACTGCCAGATAAGTCTATGGGGTTACTATTCCCCTCAACAGTACGAAGTATTAAATATCTACTGAAATTTCTACCACAGGCATAAATGCAAGATTTTTGGAAAAGAAGTGGTATTTTATTAGACCATAGCTGACCCCTCACCTCCACTTTCGCACTTCTTCCCACCCCACCTGCCCAAGAAAAATGTGTTCACAAACCAATTAATTTATTACTTCTGAAACATGGTTGGGGAACTAGAGAAACTTCGAGTGCACCATAAATCAATTAGTATACTGATGTTACCTAATATCTCTATTCAGTCCATGCATTTTATTTTTCTAGCTTGATTTTCATATATATTTTGTCACTTTTCCTTATGGATTAGAGTTGACTGGACTTTGAAAGATTGTTCAGTGAAAAGTGTCTGTGGATGTTTCTGCCCTTGACTATTATCAACATAGAATTAGTTATGCTGTGTCATTAAGTTTCATCTATATAGCTCCATAAAAGCAGCTGATATACTGAATAAAATATATTATGAAGCAGCGTGTATGTAGGATCTGTAGATTTTAGTGATACTATTAGGGCTATATTGTGGCGATTTCCAAGATGTACTGGGAGATTTTGTATTTATTGCAAAGGCAGTGTCTGCCTCCACCTGACACACACTGATGCTAGTCTGCTGGGAAGTGGCTTCCAATGAATGAGCTAGAAAAAGTGACTGAGAAAATGTCATTAAAAGTTGGATCCTCCTTCAGCACATCTTCTAACATTTTAAGGATTTCCATAGATTTCAGGCTAGTGAAATATGTGACAACCAGAGGAACCAAATGAAGTAGGGGTACACTTTTGCTCTGAAATTCTTATATGATATTATAGCAACTTAAAAAAAATAATCTATATATACCTATTTCACCATGTTAACAGTCCTACTGACTGAAGTTCTCTGCAGGCTTTCAAGAGAGATATGGTGACCATTCCACTCAGAATAAATGTGAGGCTCTACACTCAGCTAGGGTTTTTTTGTTGTGTTCTAAACAGTTTCTGGTTTTGTGCATGTGCACGTTTTAGCTTGTGTCTTTTACATTATACTTTGCAGCTGTTGCAAATGGAACTCACACATTTTAGAATTCAATCTGTATTTGCTGGAGAAAAAGTGACTACAATGACGTGACTATAACATGCAGTACTTTCAGACATGTCCATGATGCTACAGCCAGAGATTCAAACTGAAATAAGGCATGCATTTTTAACAGTCAAGAGCACTAATGACTGAAATAAAGTGTAAAGACAAGTGGTAGTTTTATCTTTAATTATTCAAATGAGGATAGGATGCCTTTCTGCAAAGTATATATAAGCCCAGTTAGCCTGACAAAGTGTAAAGAGAAGCTGGTATAATTTAGTTACATACATCTATGAACAGGTCAGCCTAAATGATCTTAAGATATTACAGCCAGGTAATATTATAAATAAAAATGTAAAATCCCGCTAATATTAATGGCCTAACTACAGGTTGATGAAGTATTATTTACATGTGAAATTCAAACGAGGAAAAGACCTATCCTGGATCTCCTGTGTGTCCCAGTCCCTGAGTTTTTGATGTAAACTTCCTTTGCTTGGCAAGGATAACCAGCTTAAAGAATCTGTTTCTTTCAGGTTTTCCTCTACTCTATCCTGGTGAGACTGCATTTGGAATATTGTGTTCAATTCTGGGCCCCTCAGTTCAAGAAGGACAGGGAATTGCTTGAAAGAGTCCAGCGCAGAGCCACAAAGATGACTGAGGGAGTGGAGCATCTCCCTTATGAGGAGCAGCTGAGGGAGCTGGGTCTCTTTAGCTTGGAGAAGAGAAGACTGAGGGGTGACCTCATTCATGTTTATAGATTTGTAAAGGGCGAGTGTCAGGAGGAAGGAGCCAGGCTCTTCTCAGTGACAGTCAATGACAGGACAAGGGGCAATGGGAACAAGCTGCAGCATAGGAGGTTCTATGTGAACATGAGGAAAAACTTTTTTACTGTAAGGGTTACAGAGCACTGGAACAGGCTGCCCAGAGAGGCTGTGGAGTCTCCTTCTCTGGAGACATTCAAAACCTGCCTGGATGTGTTCCTGTGTGACCCAGTCTAGGTGATCCTGCTCTGGCAGGGGGGGTTGGACTGGATGATCTTTTGAGGTCCCTTCCAACTCCTAATATTCTGTGATTCTGAAAATCAGCAACCAAATAGAGAAGAAATAATTTATCTACTTGTCTGTAAGGGAAGGCATAATATATGCTAACCCCCCACAAACCACAAGAAGATGTAAGATCGACTTTGAAACTGTAGGAAAATAGGCCTCATTAGAGCCATTGCTCATGGAGCCAACTGTATTTCAGTCACACTTACAATTTCAGCTGATCCTTTGTCAAATGGAAACTCAACTGTACTGACTTTCCCCTGAAACTGCGGGATCTCTATATCATCTTCATTGGGGCTCTTAATCTTTGCTATTATTTTGCCAACTAGATCAATTCCAGTGTGGTTGTTGTATTCATCCTGTAAGTAAAAAAGACAGAAGGGTTAGTTTGGAACATGAACTGCAAAAAGTAATCCATTTATATACTGCATTGGGTTTGTGTGGTGAGGTGCGGGCAGTGGGGCAGCTGCAAGGTGGCCTTGTGAGGAGAGGTTGGGCCTCATGCTGAACACAGTCAGTTCCAACCAGCTCCAACTGACCCACCACAGGGCACAGCTGAGGCCCTCAGCCAAACTGGTGGTTCCTCTGGGAAAACACATCTTAAAAAGGGCAAAAATACAGTCAGAAGAGAAGGGGAAAAAAGAGCAACAGCAGAGGGAACAACAAGGTGAGAGACAAAGGAAGGGGGGAGGTGCTCCAGGCACTACAGCAGAGATATCCCTGCAGCCCGTGGGGAGACCCCATGGTGGACCAGGTGTTTCCCTGCAGCCTTGGAGGACCATGGTGGAGCAGATATCCACACTGCAGCCTGTGGAGAGGGCTCACGCTGGAGTAGTTCATGAAGGACTGCGACCAATGGAGGGACCTACACTAGAGCAGGGAAACTGTGAGGAGGAAGGAGCAGCAGAGAGGAGCTGTTATGGACTGATCAACCCCCAATCCCCATCCTCCTGTGACACCTGGGGAAGGGTAGAGGAGTCTGTAGCAAAGATGAGCCTGGAAAAGTGTGGGGTGGAAGGCGATGTTTTAATTCTTTTGTCTTTGTTTCTCACCACTCAAATCTATGTTAATTTGTCATAAATGAATTTTCCACAAGTTGAATCTGTTTTGCCCATGGTGGTAACTGGTAAGTGATGTCTCTGTATGCCTGGGAACATTTAAAGTTCAGGAAACCTTAGTTTTTGTACTAAAAGATTTCTAAGAGGAACTATTTCCTGGACGAAAAACCATGGAGACACATGTCTGCTGTATATATGTTTTCCCTCTAGAATCTATTCTTGAAACTTTTTTTCCTGTGGTAGCAAGAAATGGGTTTCAATTGAAATGCCTGACAGCAAGGATTGCACATTTTACTTTTGGTCATCTGTATGTTAATAAAAGAAGATATACCTGTCATATACTGGAAATCATCAATTTACATCTATTTTGTGAAGTTAATCTGCAAAAAGTTAGCAGCAATGCCTTACTGGAAAATTCAATGTCTATTTAGGAGTCTTATATATCTACCTAATTATTATCTAAATTAAGGTATAAATAAATACAACTAAATTGAAGCATAGTTACCATTAAATGGAGGCATAAATCCTTGACCAGTGTTCGGCTAGTAAGAGTTCGAACATTGGAAACTGCTGGAGTAGCTGGTAAAGAATCAGGTAACAAGCGTACAGGTTCATTTGGTACAACTTCAATTATAATCTAGCAGAAAAAGGAGGAAGAATAAATAAAACAAAATAAAATAAAGACTGGTATAATTCACTGCAATTCACCTGCACACATGGGTTGCTCAAAAAATACTGAAACAAATGCATGTGAAATTTACAGACAACTTTGAAATAAATTAGCATGACCATAAAACAGTTCTACTACATTGCAAATTATGCAGCTCTCTTATTCCACAAAATTTCTGATAGTTAAAAAAGCTAATGTAAACATATTTTGATAATCAACAGTTTGAAATCAGTAACTATCAAAAATAAAAATACAATTTTTTGCAAATGTTGCAAGTGAATGTTTTGCATTCTGAATCTACAAAGTACCATAATATTTCTCCCAGGATTCTGTCTTAAATGTTCTTGGCTACATGTAACTAATTATAGATTCAAACCTGGTCACTGATGAGCATATTTGTCTTATCCATTGCAAAGGTAAACTGGATACTGTAAGTGCCCACTCTCTCTGGAACTACTTTATCCCTAAATAAATAAAAAACAAAAACCAAGCAAAAGCAAGTCAATATTGAAGTGACAAGTATGCAAGCAATTCAAATTCTGAGTAGTCCTCCAAACTAGTTAGAAAGTCCTGTTAAGGCACGATATATTTTAGTACTCTCCATAATTGGCTTCATCAAGAATGCCACAAAAGTTTCTCAAGAACTAGAATAAGGCTTTTGGAAGCTTGGATGAGGAAAGTCTCCTCCAAGAGTTTGTCTCTACTAGCTGACAGGAAGTTTGTCATGGCCCTATTATTCAGAAATCTGCAAGTCTGCCTCATTTCACTTCTCACTCAATGAATTTTCATAAAGCTACTGAAACACAGCATAGAGATGTTTAGATTTGCAACAACAACAAATTATCTCCAAATTTAATAATTTAGTTTGAATCTTTGTATTGGGTTTTCTGTGAGGGGTTTTTGGTTGTGTCTTTTGTAACAGGGGAAGGGTTATGGAGATGGGCTATCTTTTACCTATTTGTAGCACTGTATCATACCAATTCTATAACAGATTGTTATTTTCAAAACCCAAAACTCTTGCTTCCATTTCAAACTATGTACTTTGTACAGTAAGTTCCATCAGTAATTATAAAATAAATGCTGTTATACCTGAAGTAGAAGAAGCCATCTTCCTTGTCATCCTTCCCTTTACTACAGCAAAATTTTGTAGTCTGAAAGAAAGATGCACAAAATTCAATGCAAATACTGAAAGTTAAAGAACCTTACTTGTAATATGTTATCAACTTTTAATGATTTGCAGTACTGATAGCATACAGTAATTCAATGCGATCACCTATAATCTAGACACTAATTTCATATTCTTAATTCTTCAAGGCTTTTCTTTGCAAAATTCAGAGTGGCAACTTTTAATAGTCTCTCTGCCATTAGTTAGCTTCTGCAGAGCAATAACATTTTTGTCCTTACTATAGTCTTTACATTTGAACAACCTAACAACTTGTAACAGGACATGTATTGATAAACAACTATTATTAATATATAATACTTGTTATTTAAAATCTAGAATAGGATACTGATCTAAGTTAAATGAAGGAAATTTTCTACTACAGATATGTTTGTCCCATGCCGGCATTTTGACAGCAATTTCGGAAATGCTTTGTGATGACTTACATCAGTTGATATCCTAGGTCCACTGCCCTGTGCTTCCCACATTTTCATAGAAATCCGTGCTGGATTAATGTTTTTAATAATGTTGTCATCTTCAGAAAGAACACTAACCATAAAATCTGTAGAATTAAAGACAGTAATTTTTCAAGATCATTCTTATTCAGAGTTAAGAAGACTGAACTCCATGAATTTGTGTGTCTCCCACAATTTATGAGGAAAAACACACAAAACCCGCAATCCAACCAGAATCCAAACAACGAAAAAATTAAAAACCAGATACAGAAACCCTCTCCCAGGCCCTGTAATTAGACCAGGTAACAATGCTTAGGAAAAAAACCCATCTACTTTATCTAATGACTGCTTTAAAAAAACGCTCAAATTTCAAGTCTGCCTCTTCCAGATTATCATTCTTATCAAAATAGCAAGGCTATAGCAAGTCAGGCTTCTTCTTGCTCTCAGGCAAGAATAATCAATAGCTAGTTAAGTAGCTGACTCCTTCCTTCAAGGACAGGAAATCCAGATATCTCTCTTCCTTCACATGTCCCTCTTCCTTCACAAGTGCTTTAGCCATTGAACTACTTGACAGAAAGGCACAGTAGTTACAAAGAGATTGTACCAACACCATTTCCCCCCCCCATAAGCCACACTGTAACAAAAAGGACTCTCCTCCTCTCTCAAAACCTGGTTGATTTATACTACACACTACTATTTGGCAGGAAGGTTGGAGCTAGATGATCTTTACAGGTCCTTTCCAACCCAAACCAATCTGTGATTCTATGATTCTATAGTATGCTTTCTTTAAGAAAAACTAAAATATGCTTACTCTAGGCAAAACTAAGTTTCAAGTCAAGTTCGTAACATTTTATGGAGTATTTTAAAGAACAAAAATATCTTTCCATAAAAATGTAGCCTCATCAAGCTACAACAGTAGAATTACTGTCTTTGAGTATGAACCTTCTTTGGTTAAGAAACAAGGCCCCACACCATAGACCTCATATTTGTGGGAAGTATTCTGTTTCTCAACTCTTAGTACCACAAATAAATAGTTTGTTCTAAATTTTAAATAGATGTTGCAGATATTTCATACAGGCTTGGGATACAACAAATGGATTTGTATGAAACAGATTTTCTGATTTTTGTCACCTTTGAGATATGCTTATCATCAATCCAGAAGTATTTACAAAGGAGTAGAGAGAATAGGTGAGGAAAATTCAGATGCTTGCTGTGAAACTGCAAGAACTGAAAACACTCCTCAGATGGACAATTTTCTTGGTTTTAAGTTCACCTAAAGGCAAGGAAAAGACTGAAGTATAGGAAGGATGGAGTTCTGAAACAGCTTACTTAAGGAGCCCTTGGCTAAGGAACTTGCCAAAAGGTCTCTAAGAAACCAAGTAGCCTCTATCAGCAGGATCACTCACATTTAAACAGCTGTCAGCTCCTTCAAACACATTTGTAAGGCCACATTAAATAGGGTTAGCGTTTCAGAGTTAGTTACTTAGCAATTTCATGACTAAATTAATTTATAATTCTAAAGTGAATACCACTCAGTATAGGAAATTTGTTAGTGTTTATTTCATCAAATAGGTCTAAAAGTCATCTACTGAAGATTCAAATGTGACTTTTATTTTTATTTTTTTCAAACCAAGGAAGGGATCAAATGAGGAAAAAAAGTAGTTTGGAAACTACCTTACTCTTCTTCACAGGTATGACTGACAAAACACAGCAGGTTTCCCAAGTCTCAAATGGTTTTCTTTATTTTTAATTTCACTGAATTGTTATTGAAGTCTTTTTTTGTCTTCCTTAATGTGATATTATATGTAAAGTGACAGAATCTACTTGCTTTATATTTAACTTATTTAGACAGGACTTCACGTTTCTGAGGAATATCTTTGTATCAGGTTTCATAGTGCAAATCTGGATACTGCAAATTAAAATATTCAGGAAGAAGGGCTAGCAAATTTACATACTTTACTGGCAAATTCAAGAACTGTATCTGCATGATGGTTATTGTAAAGACGACTTTCATTTCCTGAATTAATGGAATTAGTATGGATCTCTTATTCATGTCAAAGTTTCCTTATAGGGAAAAGCATCTTTTTGCAGAAGATGTTTCCTCCTGGTCATAACTTGCTCTTCTTTATCTGTTTTCCTTATTGTGAATACTACTATGTTACAAAACATGAGATGGCTTTTTTTCTTTAATGACTCAGCAGCCTTAGTTAGAAAGCAAAGATCATCCTTTTGTGAGAGAATACAGCAAGAGAGAAGAATATTTTGTACTGTTCCTGCCATAATTCTGATCACTTTTTGGTTCCTCTGGGTTCACAGTTGGCTTATAATTTCACAGTTGCCTCCTTTGTTACTATTGCACAGAAAGTGAGACAAAGGAAAACACGCATGAACTAGCTCAAATCATCTTTTGGGAAGATCAAAAACTGAAATACGGTATTTCACTAAGGTGAAGAGATTCTGTAGTTTCACCATTTACAGACAGATTAGAACAAATTAGTAAGAGGTCTTTTGAAATACTTTCCAAGGGTGATGTACATATCTTTTCTCTCCAAGTGTTACAGAGGCATCTCAGATATGGCTGTTACAAAGAACTGAGACAAAACAGAGAGAAAAAGTAAGAAACTACACCAAAAGAACCATCAAAATATTTTTTCATAGGTGTAAAAAGCTCAAGTGATTTGTTTCACAAAAGAAACGTTATACTTACCAGGGAAGGTACCTCCTGCTTGAAAGGAAGCATTTTTGTCATATTTAACATTCAAGCGGACAGGTTTCTCAGGATCGGGCAGGACATTTAATGTGATTACAGGACAATCTAACATATTCTTGCCATATGAGGCTTTAAGCTGTAAAGTGTGCTCTCCCCTGAAATATACAGAAATCATAAATATTGTTACAAAATATCTCTTTTGAAAAGACAATTTTTAACAGACTTCAAGTCTGAATCATTTACACGAAAAGCATGATAAAAAGGTATCTAGAAGTTATCAGTCATAAAAGGAAGAGAAAAATGGAAGTGTTAATGCAAAGTTAGACAAATAAAACCGTAAGTTTAAGATATTCTTACAATATTAGCTCATAAATTTTATTTTTGCTTTAATATTTCATTAGCTTTATCATTTTTCATTGCCTGTCTATAACACACTAGCGACAACAGCTTTAAGTAACAGAAGACAGTAAGGTAGAAAGCAAGCACAGGTAATAAAAACACTGTCTGAGAAGCATCCTGCTTTGACGGTTTCCAAAGACTGCACCCACGTACAACTCACATCTAGCAAAGTGTATTGCAAATATATAATGACTTCATTGCTATAGAATAGCTCATTTTCTTTACAGCATTAAAAACTTGAAATTTAAGCTTTTAAACAAAACTGGGAATATAGCATTTAACTGCACAGATGCTGTACTCCCCAGCCAGTTCTGAATATGCTATAAATAGTACGATATTACCAGTGAGAACACCCATTTCTAACCTTCAGTAACATATTAATAACTAATATTCGTCATCATTCTACCAAGATGTAGGCATTATAAATACACTAAGCACCATCAACAGCATTTGAAATAATTTTCTTCCAAACAAAAAATATTATGGGTCAAATCCTGCAGATACGAATGCAAAATATTAACTGCCATGAAATAATTCAGAAGTTTAAGAACAAGCACTTATTGCTAGCTTCTAAGCTACCTAAAGCCAACCTAGTCTTGCAAGAAAAGCTCAGGGACACAGGGAGTGGGTAGCAGAAGTGTGAACAGGATGAAGATAAAGAAATAATGAATTTGAAAAGTCAGACGGGACATATGAGTGTAAGGGGAGTGACTGATATGAAGAAGCAGGAGCCACAGGACACAGATCTGCAGGAAATGAGATTTCATTAGATCTATTGCAAATAATAAAAAACATATATATATATATTTAAAATTCATTTGGACACTTTACCTAATCCTTTAAAACAATGGCTAGCACCCAGAAGAAATGGTGTTTCAACACTCCTAAAATGCATACCATCTTTGAGAGCATAGCGTCTGGATCTGATCATCCAAAGGCTGTACATTTCAAATATTTTAAGTGGTTTATGACACCATCTGCACTAGGTACAGGTTGACAATTATAAGCTTTGTTTTACCATGACCAGAAAAAACAAGATTCAGCAACTTAGAGCAGCAGCTTCTCAGGAGACCAAAAGAAGCAGCTATTAAATTTTATTTAGTTAAGCACTTAATTTCTTAAAGCTCAGTATCTGGCTTTCCACCAGCATATAAATAACAAATGTTTGACCTTAGCTCTAGATTAGTTCTTGGTAGGTACTTTATGAAATGCGCAGCTTAAACACACCTAGCAAGCGACATCTCAGAATTAATTTTTTTTCCCCTACAGTTTTCACTACTTACCTAGGTCCATGAATACTAAAAACTCCCAGGTTAGCCCTACCATTTTCATCTGTTTTATGTTGCTGGCTTGAAGAAGCAATCTGTCAAAAAAAAATTTTTTTATTCTTTCAATGACACAGAAGTAGTATCAAGTCTTAGAATAAAATGTTTCTCTCATTTGCCTGCATACTGTCTTTCCATTTGAGCACTAGCTTCTTTGTATTGTTGCACTTTAAATTAAAGAAAGTTACACTATTAAGAATACAATATTAAGAGGTTTCAGAATTTTCTATGCCAGTTTTTTGAAGAAAATAATTCTATCTCAACTGGGATATTTTTGTCCATTAAAATGTTAAAATATTTTATTAATGTTATTTCTTTTATCACTATGTTGACAGGGTTGCAATCACGACAAAATTTATCTACGCAGTTGCAGATAAGCAGGCATTTCTTTATTGCAGTGCTGGGGAAACACAGAGGTAGCTCCTCTAATTGTGCTCCGAGGTCCGTACATTTTCACAGCTTATTTTTACATTTTTTAACAAAGTGATATTACAAGATTATATAAGTATGCATAAAATGTCTGCTTTTTAATTTGCCCTTTACTGTTGGTTTCTAACTACCATAATATTTCATACAAGACATCAATTTACTTCAAAAGCTTACCTCTATATTATTTTGACACGTAGAAAAAAAGAAAAGGCATGGCCTAATCGTTATCTTATCACAACTATTCTTCATGTTATTGTCTAATCCTTATCATAACTATTCTTCTTCTGGTATGTACCCATGCATGGTACGCACCTTCTCTAAGTACTTGTACACATATATCTTGTAGTTTTAGATTTGCAGTTTAAACAAATACCTACTTTAACTACTTTAATCAATAAAAATGTTCTCTTGACTGAAATAATAATGATAACTTATTGTCAGTGTTGTTTTAGGATAATAACACAAATGCCTTATGCATCTCCTATTGATCTAGCACATTAACTAGCTCTGACTCGAAGTCCTTTAAAGTCAATGGACATTCTACTATTGACTTAAAGGAACTCTCGCTGAATCCCATTGCCAGAAAATAACTCCCCTCTAACTCACTGGTGTTCAAGGTATGTTTTCTATGTGCACCCTGTCGTTGTGGCACTGAAAGTAAAATCTTATGATTTACATCATACTTGCCTTTACACATTAAATGGCAGAGAAACTATCACTTCACTTTCCTCATCAACCACAACCTTTTGAAACTACAGGCTCCAGTGTAGCAGGCAGGGAATGCCTATCCTCTCATAGAAACAGGTGTGAATCTTAAAGAATACTAATACACTCTTAAAGTAAGCAGAAGCTATTTCTTCTGCAAATTTGTGTGCATGCTGCCTTAGCTTTACCTGAGAAATAGCTTACCAATGTTTCAAAAGGACCCCAGATAGCAGTTTTAAAGTTTGGAGGACAGCAAAGGAAGCCATGGATACATTCTGAGTAATGAAATATTCCTCTCTAATGAGATAAATCAACTTTTTTATTGATGATATAAAGCAACAATGTGGTGCAAATGTTTGTCATTATTTGAAGAGTGTTTGGCGTTAAATTGCTTTCCCTTTGCTATTTCAGCTCAAATTTCAGGAGACTAAGTGTCTAGTGTCCACTTACACAAAACAATGTTTTTGTTATAATTGAAGTGGGCAATCTTCTTCCAAAACCATTTCCTTTACCAAATCTCATCTCAGTAAATTAAAAGAATTAAACTACTTTAGGAAAAAAAATGGTGAAAGTTGATTCTTAATGGATCAGCTATGGGAGCATGAATTTATCCTACCATGTCACTAAGCAATGGCAAAAAATGTGTGCTTAATGGTTTATATGGAAGGCAGCATTGTAAGAGTATACTAAGAAAACTGCCAGACATTTCATACACTTTTTTGAAGAGTATACTGAACTCAACAAAATAAGTCTGTATTTGAAATTACTGTACACCACAGAATGGAAAGTTTTAGTTTTTACAGGAACTGTAAAATGTGCATTTTCACTACTGAGCTGCATATGAGTTCAGAGTGTTTCTGTTCAGTCATACACGTTTAGTTTTGGACCTGTACAAGAGAGAATGGAATACAGGAAATTGATGCTGCAACTGCAGAAAATCAGGCTTAAGAGACTAAGAGGACGGGATGTGAAATACAGACAAAGAGCTTATCTGAGAATTGCACTTCCCAGAAGCTTCCTCTGGGACACTGTGCATACAACCTATTTGAAATGCCAAGGCAAGGCAGTTCTCTAAAGAGGTTCTCCAAGATACTCATGAATACTGATCTGATGTCAGTTCAGCAAATATGCAGCTGGTTGCTCTGCTGATGTATGAAAGTAACTCTTAAAAATGATACCAGTGTTAAGTTCTGGGAGAGTACACTGTAATAAACACATTATCACAATGATCTGCCTTGGCTTTCAGAAGACTTTCTCCTGTACACATATCACTTGGATAAAGGGCATGCAGACTTTTTAAGACATGCTGTTGGTCCTCCCTGGGGGAAGGCATAATATCTGAAAAGACACAGCATGCCACCACATCTCTTTGATCAGACAACACAACCATACAATGATACTGTCAAGGTTGTACGTTTTCTCAAGAGCAACATAACCAGAAGCCCCAAGGAGTTGCAGCTGCCACTATAAATGCAGTAGTTGGGGCAAACAAAAAAAATATCCCAACTATGAAGTAGGCTTCTATGTCAAGAGATTCAAAAGTGCCTGAAGAAGACTGATCAAGATATAAAGAAATCTCCTTTAAAAAACCCTCATAGAAATAAGTAATAGTTGTATAGTAAAACTGGGGGGAAAGGTGAGCTCTGTGGCACAGTTCTTCAGGGGTGAACAAAAGAAAGTTCTTGGCTGCTGTGTGTTCTGAGAGAACTGAGAGACACAAATGCATGGCGAGCAGGAACAAAAAGGGACCACCACCAGCCCTGCATGAAAAAATGTGATGTTCAGAGGTGGATGAATATATCCTGTACCGATAATGTACATGTTCAATATAACTGCACTGACACTTGGGAACGTTTGACAATTTGACTTTTCTTTTTTCCCAATAACAAGAACAAAAATTTTAATGAATGGAGTATTCTGTCATACAGACCAATGCGCAGACCATCTGAAACTCGTACCTCACTCATGGAAAAGACAGTAATCACCTAAATTTGGGTTAGATTTGCATCCTTATTCTTTCAATTTAGTTTACACTGCCAGTGCTTTTCACAGGGATAATCGAGCAGGGAGGAAACCTGTTGATGAGCTTCACATACAGACCGTAAGTCACACACTCAGGAACCACAATCAGAGAACCACCAGATAAAATTTATTTGGTTGTCAGTTTGGACCATATCATCATTATTATTACTCTTCAGTAAATTACCTTAGATCAAGTGGTAGATGGGTTGGGGTGATGTGCATGCAGAATTTGGAAAAAGGTTCAGTAGAAGATCCAGAATGTATACTAATTATACTTGGACACTCTACTTTAGGAATTCTGTTATATCTGTGACTGTTATAATGCAAGGGAGCTAAGCAATCTGTCCTGAGAACCATTTCCATTACTCGCTTACACTAATATTATATGAGATTAATAATTATTTCGTGTCCTTACAATATTTTACTCACTTTTCCAAAAATGTCTTGAAAAATTAAGAAGATAATATAGATAAGACAATAAAAATTGTGTTAAAGTTCACATAATAAGGCCTATGCTTACCCTTAAGCTGTTACTCTTTGTAATGTTGATTTTGATGTTAGGTTCGGGAGATGGATTTCCCCATTGATCACACAGCTGAACAATAAGGGGCTTCTGCAATTCTCTACCATTAATCACTGCAACAGGCTGGAAGAGATACAAATGCATTATACTATAGGTAGGTAGGTAGGTAGGTATATCAGACATCTCTACAGTCCTGTACAGAACATTATACATTTCTAGAGCTGTCATTTCTCACAGTTTTTAGAAGTATCAATACTAAGAAATCAAGAGTTTTCAGCTTTGCATCCTGTGCTCCAAAAAGTTCTGGAAGTAAAAGACCTGCTGATTAGTGACCCCATTGTTTTCTTCCAAACCAAAACTGTTCAACTTACCTTTTCTAACTCTGGCCAGTCCACAAACTGCAATTTAGCAGGGGATCCTGCAGTTAAATTTACTCTGAGAAAGTCAGAAAATTCACGCCAAGCGAAGCACAATTCTTTGCTCCCAAGTAAACAAGGTTTATAGCGAATACCTTTTACTCTCATTGTTAGAGTACTTTCCTATTGAGAAATAAAAAGGATTTATCAAGAATAAATACAGAGAAGCATAATCTATTTTTTCAATATTGTATTTAGTATTAATGCCTGCTAGACACTAATTGCTGTTTTTACTGTGAGACAGTGCACTAAAAATTAAATTACAAGTTCTATTCCAATTGTTAGATTTAAATGGACTTCTTGTGTAAGAAGTGATCGATTTCAAACTCAAGCATTTCTTAGAAATCTGTTTTTCAGAGAATAAGAGTTATGTATAACTTAGTTATATCTAACATATTTTAAAAGGTATAGAAGATATTTAAAATCAAACTATGGCAGACAATATCATTAGTCTATTCTACAAGGTTCTTCAAAAGGTCATAAAATCCACTGTGTCACCATAAACACAGAAGAAAAGACTAAAAACAAATTCGAAGAAAAGACAGAACAAAAGACTAGAAACAAAGCCAACCTGACTCAAGCATGAAGTCAACTGGCCCCCACATTGTATAGCTGCAGCAGTGATAATGTTTTTAATGGATGTTGCTGTATTCCTTAGAACAGGATCATCTGATTTTAATGCTCTAAGTCTCTATCTTCTCACACCTTACCAACTAGTGTTTAATTTGTCTACCTTTCCATGGTTTTGATTCATTTCTGTGCGACAGAATTAAGACAATTACCACACAAAGGCCCCAGAGAAATAAACTATATGGCATCTTATAAATACCTGCCAAGTTATTTTCAAATTTGATTTATCAAGTCCAGGCCCAGAAACTCCTAGGGAATTTACACACGCAGATGTCACTGTCTGAACCTGATTTCCATACTGATCTGTAATCATTACATCTGTTAAAAAAGATGATGATTAAAATTATTATTAAGATGACTACCTTAGCAGCTGCTCTAATGAAACATTATACAACATACAGGATATAAATTTATACAACATAAACAAAATACAGAGAAAATTTACATGAACATCACTAAATCACAGAAAGGCTGAGGTTGGAAGGGACCTCTGGAGGTCACTTGGTCCACCGCCCCTGCTCAAGCAGGGCCACTTAGAGCTGGTTGCACAGGACCATGTACAGATAACTTTTGAATATCCCCAAGGATGCAGAATCCACAAACTCCCTGGGCAACCTGGGCCAGTGTCCGGTCACCCTTGTGTTTCCTGATGCTCAGAGAGAACCTCCTCTGTTTCAGGTTGTGCCCATTGCCTCTGGTCCTGTCACTGGGTACCACTGGAAAGAGCCTGCCTCCATTTTCTTTACAGCCTCCCTTTAAGTATTTATATACATTGATAGGATTCCCCCATCTTGTCAGTATCAAAAGTATCCATATAATCTTAAAATTGAAAGCTGTCTTCCAGCCTGCTAGTTTGTCCTACGCGCTTTTCTTCGCTCACAAACAAGCTTTTAATGTCCCAAAATACTGTGAGAATTTTAAATTTCTTACTATGCTATGTAGCAACTGCATACAGAAACGGAAGGAGAACACAAAGATAGATCCCTAACATTCCTTCCTCTCAGGTTAAAGTTAACCTTGAAATGTTTCACTTTGAAGTCCATGAATTTGAAACAGTCTAAATGTTGTTATGGCCTGTAAGATTTCAGAATACAGGAACCAAACAAAAATGATGAACAATTTGAACTCAGTGTTGAATGTCCCAGTGTACAAACTAAGAGGCAAATTTTATCGGAGAGTAACTCCAGAATTGTAAAATGGCAATTAGAGAAATCTGATCATCCTTCCATGAATGAGAAAGTCAACCTGATTTTTATGTTAAAGCAGTAGAAGATAATTCACTCTTGATGACATTTGTATACATAACAGTCTAATAAACAGCAAAGAAAAAGAAACGTATCTTACAAGAAATAGAAGAGTATGCAAATACTCACCAATTTCACCTTGCAGTTCTTCACCCAACTGCAGTGTGTTTGTTCCTTTTAATTTACATTTAATGTGTCTGGGTTCATCAGGAAGTGGTCTAAATCAGTATATAAAAATTGACTTACAATCATTCTCATGAAGGTTATAATTTCTAATAGCAGGCATGATAAAGCATACAGCAGTTATCACCCATTTGCAGCCAGACTTTTTTTTGTTTTACTTTACTCTTGCACCTATTTAGAAGATCAAGCCTCATGTGCACACAAGTTGCATAGCAGCTTTCACACTGCTTACATAACAAACCATGGCAATGTTACGAGATTTTTACCTTCTCTGTAATAAGTTGCCTCAAAATATTCTACCATAGGTCAGATCATTAGCCAGACAAAGAAGAATTCATGTCTGGAGTATTTTAAATCTTGAAAAAAACCAAAACCCACAACATCCCCAACACCTCTAAGCCAAAGTAACATATAATTGTCTACATATTAAAATATATTTATTACTGAAAATCCAACTAGAATATCAACATAAATCCCGATACACATATCACAGTTTCCCTTACTACAAAAGTATTTGCTGACTTCTTAAGGACCTGATTACAACTAACATAGCTTAAAATTTTTAGTGATACAGTTCTTCCTTAAAAGCAAAACAAAACCAGGACATTACAAATATGGAGAAGATGAACAACCATAAAAAATGAAAATCAGATTTCCATTTCCTTTTTTGCTATGATACAGCAGAAGTCATCAGCCTGAACTATGCCTATTACTACGTCTATTACTATTCTCTTAAAAATAATTTCTGGGATATTTTATAACAACCTCAGCCATCACTGTTGTTTATTTGACAAAGGTTAATATATACTGTAAGTGTATTATGTGCTGGGTCCCCATATGTTTAAGAGTTTTCTGACATCTGTAAGTTATTTAAGAATTATCCAATACAATGTTTTTTATTCCTTTTGTGTGTTCTAAGCTAAAAGTTACATTGAGATCTTTAAAAATCTCATTAGAATGGTACCCAGTTAGTTTTTATGACAACAATACAATAATCCCTAAATATAAGTTCTCTGACTTGAGACTGCTTTTCAATAACAAACAAAAAAATGTATTAAAAATACTCAATAAATCAATCCACTGTTCTACTTCCTTTCAAGAACATTCAGTCTACTTTTCTGCTCTTCATAAAAGAAAACAGAAAATACTACTTAACTGAAAATATTTCTCTGACAGTGCTGCATCATGGACAGCTTTTTACAAGCACTACGCTCCCAATATTCTAAAGAATCTTAATGTTTGGTCATGTAATATTTTTCTACTGCAAATCTGCAGAATGTCAAATCACTGCAAATTTACCCCTGGCATCAGTGTGTTGTGAACCAGTTACTGAATTTTAACCTATTAAGGACACATGAAATACAATAAAGTCATTTACAATCAGAGTCATGTTAACAAACTTTACAAAAGGTAAAATAAGTAGAGCTAACGGTCTAGACTCACTAAGAACGATAAACAGGCAATTTTAAAGTTCAATTTACAGTCTGCCACTCACTGGACTGAGATACCAGTGTAGGCGTCCAGCATTTCACTAGATAAGCACTACCTTTGGCTTCAAAGTAATAACCTCTGTAAGGGTAACAACTAACTTAATAGTTATATTTCTTTTTGGCCATCAGTGACCTGACTTTTCAGTAAGACTAGTTATCCTATTAGCTAATCTTTACTGAAATTTTTCAAAGATGGCAATAATCTCTTTCAGTGTATGTCTACTTACAAAAGTGATTATAGGGCTGAATACAAACAGATCATGATGGAGTATTGCACACAGGTAATGTTCTCATCAGTAAACAATCTGCATAACCAACCTACAATCTGCCCCCAACCTACATTCCCCTGCTAATTTTTCAACTGCTTTCATTATTTCAGCTTCTGTAGAAAGTTTTTTTACCCCAAAAGACAGTTCTGCAATCCTTTGCCAACAATGTAATTCATAAAAAAGTATTTCAAATGAACAGACCTGACTGTGAATGCACTCTCCAAAGACACATGGTCATCAAGATAAGTAATCAGACAGTAACGTACATCTTTTACTGTCGTTGGTACTTTTACATCAGGTAATAATCCCTGAATCAACTGTTCTCTGTTAATTCTAGGTGTCCAGTTAACCTAAAATTAAAATTTCTTAAATTAATCAAATGCTAAATTATTAATGATTAGCTACCTAATGCACATGTGGTCATTCTAAATATGCTGAAGTAACATACAGGCAATAGGAATTTTCAATGGAAAGTCTGTGCACTTTCCAACAGTAACCAAAGCTACCTTCCCAAATACAGAAAATTACTCTAAAAAAAACCAAAACAAAAACACCCGCCAAATAAAAGAAAACATACATTAAGTTTCCCTCACTTTCTTGAGTTAGGAAAGATCTGATTCTGAAAAACCTCACCAAAAGAAAGAGTCACATATTTGGTGGAGCTCTACCTTTGTATTAGGCTCCATATATGTACACAGATGGATAAGATAGGTAAGCAAATCTTCATCAAGGACCATGCCTATTCAAAATTCCTAAATGTTGAAAAGAACACAGATCTGAAGAATCATAACTGTGTTGGAAACATTTTATCGTGTTTAGGAGAAGCACTGGAAATCACTAACCTGCTTTTCATAATACTACCCTGAGGCATTATTTAACATTTCATTAAATGTCTTTATCTCATTAAGGACACAATTTTAATAAAATTATTTAAAAAAAATTATGAAGTGGAGAGTGAAGTTCCCACGTTTAATAATACAGTCTTGAGGAATGTTATTTTGTAGTCTTGTCTCTATGGATTTTAGAGAACCAGCATTGTATCTCTCCCCTATACTATGTTGCTGTTTACTCAAAAGTACTTGCCTTGATTTTTTCTGCCACAGCTGGAGTTATGTTTATCTCTCTTTCGCCTTCATCATACATCTGAAATATAAGGTTGCGCATGACATCACCAGCAACCCAATTAATTTCATCCTGATGTTTAATTTGAATAGCTTTTTGTCCATCCATGCTTAAGATCTGTATTCTTGCAACACGACTGCTAGGAAGAAGTTTAATAATCTTTTCCACTGGTGGCACATCTTTACAACTCTATACAAGGGGAAAAAATAATTAAGATAATAAATATATATATGAATAAATACCATATAATAGCTTATGGCACTACTCTGGATTACCAGGTGTTACCATGTGTCCAAACATGAAATCAGCTTGACTTGTCAAAAGTAAATCAAAAGAATATATCTCAATACTTACAACTTTTAACAGATACAAGAATTGATGCTAGCTATTTAGAAAACGTTCTCATTCCAAAAGTACTATGTTATACAATTTACAAAATACTCCTTAAGAGTAATCATAAGTATCCTGTCATATCTTGACATATTAGTATTTGTTTACACATTTTTCAGGGTAAAACACCACAGGTCTTATTTTCTCCAGCAGTGTGGCTCTCCTGACTATCAGAGAACTGGGATGTTTAACAGCATTTAAAAATTCAAACATGAAGTGATTTAAGATTGAAATGCTACAAAAACCTACTAATTCTTTAACCTTTGAAAAAATATATCCTTCTTCACTGAAATTTTGAGGGATGTTTTACCACACCTACCCTGGGTCTAAATGTTTATGCAATGAAGGCAATTTGTCAGGAGGATCCAGGGAGAAGAACAATCCCAGAAATAATGTACATTTCTGAAACATTCCAGGGATTTCAGAAATAGAGTAAGAGTTGAAGAAAAAACAGAAAAAAATCTCTGCCTTTTTATGATTTCCTAGAGAGGAAAAAGGGCAGCCACTTGATTATCAGGCTTACAGTAACTAAAACAGTAACTTTTGGAAGTTGATTCATAACAGACTTCAGTACACTAGCGAGACAGTAAAAGAAACTGTTTTCAATCTTTTGTTCATACAAACAACACAATGAATACTTACAAGTATTTCAATCCTTGCTTTCAGTATCTGGTCTTTCTTTATATTCTGTACGTGTATAACTGGACCAGTTAAAATGTTTGTCCCTGCATTACTGCAGTCCACAGAATACACAGGAAGGTTTGAAGCACCTAAAAACTATTTAAAATGCAAAATTAAACTCATGTTTCTTTTACAGAACTACTAGGATTATTCCAGAAACGATTACTTGTACAAGCCCAAGTATATATGGGATTATTTACAGATAAATTTGATAATTTCGGTTTTCCAGAAGACTGCAAGATCAACACCTACACTTTTTCCCAGGTGCTAAGAGATATGTTGGATAAAGGAAGAAGTTATAAAAGTAAAATTCACTATCTATTGAACTGTTTTGTATTAACACATAAACACTAGTCCCATTTACCAATATAGCAATAAATTCAATGAAGTTGTTAAATAAACTTTCTTTTTATTAATTTTCTAAAAATCACACATTAAACAGAATGCAAATATCAACACCTCATCATACTACTACAGACCCAGTCTACAGGAAGAGAATGATAACATATAAAGTGTAAATGGAATGCAGATTATTTTGCATTGGAAAAACTTTTTTTATTATTTATTTTTATTTGTTTACCTCTTCTTGCTGGAAGATAAGACTTCACTAGAATTGGAAGTCACTTTCTTGAGTTAAAAAAAAACTAGGTGCAAAAGCGCAAAAGTTTTTCATTTCTAAAAGCCACAGCAACACCTGCATTCTCTTCTGAACTTACATAAGTTGTAGCATTCAGGGACTGCTTCTATGAAGC